ACCCAGGTCCAACAGCCCCCATTCTCCGGGAATAATGCCTTGCCGAAGCTTTTTCCCATCTGGGCATTTTCTTCATAAAACAGAGCAATCAAAACATGGGAACAGAAATTTTACAACTGGCAACAATAGGGAATCTGTGTGAAAAGTGGAAGTAATTACTTCTAAGTATGAAATAAGAACATGCCTCTAAAAACAAATAGGAAAGGTTAATTCTCAAGCTTCCGGCAGATCGGTGTTACATTGTTCCAAAGTGCAACCACTGCACGGAAGCCCCAACAATCATGATTTGTTCAAGTTTTACTTCTTACGCTTACAGCTGAAAAGACATTCCCCAGCCATTTGCTATTGCTTACTACCAACTGCTGGCCTTGGTCCTACGGAGGACAGAAGTTCCCTCCGATGCCCGGGGGGATGGCAAAGAATGGGAAAGATTTTATCACATATCTTTTTCTTTTTCATAACCAAACAACCATATATTGTGATAAATGATTATTTTTCCTGTCGCTGACATAATTTAACGATTGTATTTAATCTTATTTTCCTAAGTGTTAACATTTCCAGCATTTGAATTTTTTTTTCCAGTATCTGAATTTCTATCTTGTTTCTCATTTAGAAAAGAACCTACTGTCAAATCTTTAACTTGCATGGTAGGTAACGTCAGCCAAAGAAAACCATACAGGAAGAATAAGAGTCACTGAAATGCTCTATACGTAAGGTTTTAATATTACAAAAATTCCAAGATTTGTATTTTTCTCACCTTTGCTTGCTTGCAACAAACACATCCCGTCTCCAAAAAATTTTTCTATTTTTTACCTTATTGAATTAAAATTTTTCTATTAACGTGATTTGCTTCTTAACAAGGATAGCTAGTCCTGACGTCCAAATCTATTTTCAGCTTGTCAGTGTAGATGTTTGGATCATCTTAGTAGCCACTAGATGGAATTGCCAGATGTTTAATTCAATTAAAGGTCTTCAATATCACACATACCCTGTCACATTATGCAGCTACTCTAATCCTACCCAATCAAATGTACTATACACATTCCATTGATTGCCTCTGTGATTAGTCATTATCATGGCCTAGAAATGTCATCAAAAGAAAACCATCAATTCAAGCATACCATGCAGACCACTGTCAGGGTAGAGATGCTAGAACCTAGTTTACCCTGGTGAAATTTAGTATGGTTGGAACTATCAAAGAGTTGCAGCCATTCCGTCTAAGATTGATAAGAACAGGGGTGCCTGGGTGGCTCAGTTGGTTAAGCGTCTGCCTTCAGCTCAGGAGATGATCCCAGGGTCCTGGAATTGAGTCCCGTGTTAGGCTCTCTGCTCAGCATGGAGTCTGTTTCTCCCTCTGCCTGCCACTTGCCCTGCTTATGCTTTCTCTCTTTCTGACAAATAAATAAATAAAATCTTTAAAAAAAAAAAAAAAGATTGATTAGAACATTCCCAGTTGGACTCGAAAGGAGTCTATACCAGACGCCTGTGCTCCCCAGTCCATCCCGTTAGACCCGATTCACAGCACGTACCCATTTCCCACACAAACCACCACCAAAGCAAAAATAGTTCAGGGAGAGAGTTTGCAACAACTAATTCTAACTTAACAAAGTTCTCTAAGAAACCTCAGCTGATAGAAGTGTATTTCTCCTTTGACATTGAGCTCACTTCATTATCCACATGGCGTGTACTTGAAATAACAGTGCATGAGAAGAGAAGGACTAGTGTGAACTCTGTTAATCAGGGAAAGCTTTACTGAACAGACACAATTAGTACTTTTTTCTCTTGCACTTCTTTGCATGCCTCCTGAAAACATGCATGCATAACATTTAACTGGCCTCGTGCACCAGACCATGAGAGCATCTTACTCCCTTTTGTATCCTCGGCTCCTAAAACCTGTCACAACTTATCATCAAAGCTCTCTTACCTGAGCAACTCACACTACAGGCATCAGGCAGGTGGTGACCCTCCTGGACGTTTGTATACCTATCCCCTCTACACCTGTTTGGGCCAACTGCACATTTTAGTGTACTCTTTAAAGAAATCAAAGTGGGAACAGAAAAATCATCATTCTTCCGAAAAGCAAGTTCAGGCTTTAGAATAACTTGATAAAGGTGAGTAGCTGCGGGGAAAAAAAAAACAAAACAAAACAAACGCTGTTAAGTTAGTTGCGGACCAGACAGAGGTAATAATCAGGGAAAAATACAGATTTATGCCTTCAGGTTGCTCTGCATGTATACATGAGTTCCTGCTCCATTTTAAACAAACCCTCCAAAAATAAATCCGTGACAATGCATTATGGGAGTTGAAATGAGAAAAGCAAGAGAATTCCAAGGAGCAGCCTATGGGCCACTATTTAAGATTAGTAAACCAATATATGCTTATGTACGTCACATTAAAATACTTAGGTTAAAAATTTTTTGTGTCTGTAGTTCCCTGGTTTGACTCTGAATCAACTGACCAAGTGTCAGTCCCCGTTGCTTCAGCTAAAAGAGTTCTACTATGGGCGATATTCCAAAAGTGTTAAGTGAAAGACTCTCTGATGAAATGAATCTAGAACAGAAAGGGTATACAGGCCTAAGAAGGCAGAATGGTAGGACGGCAGAGGGCTCAGGAGCAGGCTCGGTAATGCTGAAGTCCTCGCTTTCCCCCACGCCTGGCTCAGAGGATTTTGCTCTGCTCGGCTGGCCTCATTTTAAGGGACAAAATTCAAAGATCACTTTCTCCCTCCTGGGGCGTTAATGTATCCAGCCCTCACTTTAAATTACTTGTTCATGGGCGCCTGGGTGGCTCAGTTGGTTGGGCGACTGCCTTCGGCTCGGGTCATGATCCTGGAGTCCCGGGATCGAGTCCC